TTCTGCTGTGCATGGGGTCGCTATGAGTCGGTTCCGACTCGATGGCACTTGACAACAACAACAACAACAGGATAGGATGAATGTAAAACTAATGTTCTCCCATGTAAACTTTCACATAATTCACAATAAAACATTGAGAAAAGAAAAGATTAATGAGCTTGGCTTGTAGTTTTGAGCTGATCTTATGGTAAAATTCCTTAAAAGATCGGTGTCTGATGTTTGGACAGGGGTGCAGTTTCAGTACTGCCATAAGCACTATTTTCTGTAAAAAAGTCTCTGGATGCCTGTTGTTAAGTTCCATCAAATCAGTTCCAACCCATAGCCCGACCCTGTATAGGGTTTCCGAGGAGTGACTAGTGAGTTTGAACCGCCTACCTTGAGTCTCAAACCGACTTTGCAGTCCAGGGCATCAATCCACAGCACCACACCAGGACACTCTGAATACCTTTGTCTCCCCTCAAATGCCTGTTCCTGTCCCCTGCTTCAGGAGCATAGTGTCATAGAACTACAACTCCCAACAGACCTTGGGGATCTCCGCCCCTCAAAGGAGGCGGATACGAACAGCTTAGAAACTACCACTCCCGTGACACTCTGCTTGCTGCGCCTGCGCAGAACTTAGAGCCACGTCGCTGTTGAGGCGACAGAGACCACACTCCTGACGCCAAGCTCCTCATGGCTTCCACCGACTCTCAGCGGTTTAAGGATGGCGGCGGTGCTGGAGGAGCCTTCCAGCCATACCTAGACTCGTTGAGGCAGGAGCTGCAGCAGAGAGACCCGACGCTGCTGTCAGTAGTGGTGGCGCTTCTCGCAGTACTGCTGACGCTAGGTAAGAGGCCGGCGGGCGGTTCTGGCGGGTGGGGGGCGGGCCGGGCACTGGGGTGGAAAGGCAGCTTGGTAGGGAAGACTAGCCTGGTTTCCCACCACCCCTCTCCGCCGGCGCTATCTGCTGCGTTGTTGTAAGTTATCTCGGCGACTCCCGGAGGGGCGTCGTGGCCCTTACGGTACGGTCTGCCCCTCCTTTATTGGCTCTACTCTGTTTCCCCCTCCACTCACTAACTGCCGAGAGTCTTGGGTTCTTTACACCACTTCTGAGCTGCCTGTTGGGTACACAAAGGTGGTAAAGCAGGATAGCACTGAGCATTCACAATCGAGAAGAAGGTGCACACACAGAAAACTTGACCGTTGATCCTCACTGGTACACAGTGGTCCCCCTCTGATGACGGAGATGTCAATAAAAGTAAATTCCAGGAGAGTGAGGTGTTTTGATGTAGACCATGTTGATTCCCTAATTCCAGCCCCTCCTGTGGATTCTGAATAATCAAGGAATAATATTTTGGTCTATTTTGCAGTGTTCTGGAAGTTAATCCGGAGCAGAAGGAGCAGTCAGAGAGCTGTTCTTCTTGTTGGCCTTTGTGACTCTGGGAAAACATTGCTGTTTGTCAGAGTAAGTGGTTTTTTCTTTACACCTCTGTAAAACGGAATGGTATTCCTGTAAGCACATGGTAAATAAAAAACAGATACTGATGCTGGCAAATTTGAGAGTTCAGTCTTGAGTTGGGAGGACAAACAGGCTCTTGGAAAATCCATAAACTGAAACTTGTTGATCATGTCTTTCTTTTTTTTTGTTGAAGTTTTTATTGTGAATTGAGTGAAAGTTTACAGGGCAGATCATCAGTTTTACATTCAACAAACCATATACTTTGTTTCATTACAATTATTATAATCCCCTCTATGTATCTTCAGTTAACAGTATTTTTCTATTCATGATCATTTCTTCTTTTTTTTTTTTCTTGGGTACTCACGATGCTGACATTTAGTCCTGAAGTCATTTGAGGGTTTTACACACCATAACTAGTTTCATCCTATGGCTTAGGATCCAGAACATCTAAAGAAACAGGAGCCAGTGACCTGCATATAGTTTACAATTACTTATGTAACAAACCCCTCTGGGAAGCTTGTTTTAAAAAAAAGTTTATAAAAAGGTGCTCTTTCTTTGGTATATTTGACTAGTTACGGCTTCTTTTCACTAATGTTTATTTTTAATTTGTTTAGTTATTTTTAATTTTGTGTGTGTTTGCTATAAAGAATATGAGAGGTTTTCTTCTTGTTCTTCCTTTTGAGAGTCTAAATTATTTCTCTTTTACTAAAGAAATAATCAGTGATCATCTTTCCCTGGAAGTTTTGGTGTTTAAAATTATTTATGGGCTGCTGAAAGTGAAGATGACTTAAAATATTTACTGATGAAGATCAAAGAGCACAGCCTTCGGTATGGATTGCATCTCAATGTAAAGAAAACAAAAATCCTCACCACTGGACCGATAATCAGCATTCTTATCAATGGAGAAAAGATTGAAGTTGTCAAGAACTTCATTCTTCTTGGATCAACTATCAACACTCATGGAAACAGCAGTCAAGAAATCAAATGATGTATTGCATTAGGCAAATCTGCTGCACAAGAACTTTTTAAAATGTTGAATAGCAAAGATGTCAATTTGAGGACTAAGGTGTGCCTGACCCAAGCCATGGTATTTTCAGTAACCTCATATGCATGCAAAAGCTGCACAGTGATAAGGAAGACTGTAGAAGAATTGATGCTTTTGGGTTATGGTGTTGGAGGTGAAAGTGCTGTGGGCTGCCAAAAGAACCTACAGATCTGTGTAGGAAGAAGTGCAGCCAGAGTGCTCCCTGGAGGCCAGAATGGCCAAACTTCGTCTCATACTTCGGACATGTTGTCACAAGGGACCAGTTGCTGGAGAAGGTTATCATGTTTGGTAAGGTCAGAGAAAAAGAGGAAGACCCCCACCAGCGAGATGAATTGGCAAATTGGCATCATCAATGGGCTCAAGTGTGGCAACAATTACGAGGTTGGCTCTGGATTGGGCAGTGTTTTGTTCTGTTGTACATAGGGTTGCTGTGAGTTGGTACCAACTTGATGGCATCTAACAACAACAACAGCTGTCCTGGTGTGGTGCTGTGCGTTAATGTGTCAGACTGCAAAGTCATTTGAACTGCAAGGTTGGTGGTTCAAGCTGCTCCTTGGAAACCCTATACAGGGTTGCTATGGGTGGGAATCGACTTGACAGCACTTAACAACAACAACAACAACTGTCTGGTGTGGTGCTGTAGAATAAGCACTTGATTGTTAACTGAAAGGTTGGTGGTTCAACCTACCAGCTACCCCTTTCTTGGAAACCCTATACAAGATGGCTAAGAGTTGGAACTGACATGAAGGCATTTTACAACAAGGTTGCAGCAAGGTTAGCAAAGTGTAGTGGGTTACCTGTTGGACTGGTAACCTCAGAGTCAGTGGTTCGAATCCATCAGCTGCTTCTCAGAAGAAAAATAAGGCTTTCTGCTCCCATAAAGACTTACAGCCTCAGAATCCCTATACAGAGTTGCTATGAGTCAGAATCTACTTGGTGGCACACAGCCAACACTGCCACCAACAACACCTGTTAAGGAGACCGGTGGTACTCTGCGTTAGGCACTATGTTGCTAACCTCATGGTTGGCCCTTCCAGTCTACCAGCGGCTCAGCAGCTGGCATCCCTGTGGATCAGTTCTCCTCTACGTAGGGTTGCTGTGGCTGTGGGTTTGGGGGTCATTGCAAAGTGGGTGCTTCAGAACCATCAGAAAGATGACACTGTGTGCTCCTGTAAAGGTTGGCAGTCTTGGAAACCCTGTATAGGGTCGCTATGGCTTGATGGCATTGGATTTTTCTTTTTGTTAGTGGGAGAAGAAGGTGACGTTTGCAGTTAATTAGATTATATTAATAGGTTTAAAAAAAACCTCAATATGGTCCTTTAGATACATAAAGCAAGCAACATTCATTGATCTGATTTTACACCTGAGAATGCTAGAGTAATAGTGCTGTATTTAGGTTTGCTGTTAATATATTTGGAGTTCTGGTGTGGCACTGTAGGGTAAGTCTGTTTGAACTGCAAGGTCGGTGATTCAGATTCACCCGTCATTCCTCAGAAACCCTATACAGGGTCGCTGTGGTTTCGGAACTGACTCAACGGCCTATAACAACTACAACAATTATTATATTTGTGGGAGAAAGATGAGGCTTTCTGTTCCCGTAAAGATTTATAGCCTTTGAAACCCTATTAGGGTCTCTATGAGTCAGAATGAACTAGACAGCACGTAGCAACCACAACAAACAACATTATTTACTGTGATCTCTCCCATCTTGTTTTTCACAGTTGTTGACAGGCCTTTACAGAGATACTCAGACTTCCATCACAGATAGCTCTGCTGTCTACAAAGTCAACAATAACAGGGTAAGGTGTTTGTGGAGTGTTAAGAGTCTGACAGTACATTTCCAGGATCAATTTGTCTAATGCATGTTTATGGAGAAATATAGCCATGTGATAAATTCTGCCCTTGATCGTGTGTGCTGCAAATCTAATCTAGCCCACCTTTGCTTTGTTGTGCTTTATGCACATTAATGTTGTATCATGTTTTACTCTTATTTTTTGTTTCTCTGTCCTGCTAACTTTACTTTTGAGTTCTTAAAGATACATATTAAGCTTTTGTTTTTCACTTGGTGTAAATGGTAACTATATATCATGGAACAGATATCACAAAGTAAAAAGGGCATTGAAAAATAATTTTGCCTTTGCTGCCTCTATTACTCAGGCTCCCTCATAGAAGCAATAACTATTAGCATTTTCATGTGTAACTTCAGACATTCTGTGCATATACATATATACATGTATCTATTTCCTTTAATTTCTTAAACACTCGTCTGCCCTCTGTATCTGATACAGCTTGGGATTTCCTCCCATACTGGTACCCCGTTCATTTATGAGCTGCATGATTGTACTGCTATACCATACAATTGAATCTTATTTAATCAGAGCCCAATTAATAGCCATTTAGTTTTGTTTGTTGTCATAATCTTTTGCTTTTACAGTGTTGTAATGCATATCTTCAAGAGTATATTTGAATATATTTTAAAAATACCAAAAAAGGATCATGTGAAAGACTTTTTATGTGTGTGCATAGCTGTAGAATGTAGGCAGTGCCTGCTCAGTTTGGAATACTGTTTAATGAGTATTTGGTCAGTGAGTAATGGACTGAAGGCTAGGTGGGGAAATAAATGAATGAAATAGAAGGATCTTGTAGACCTTTACCTCTTCTCCTTAGGTTCTCCCCACCCCTCTATGGTGCCTATAGAACTAAACATTGTAAGCAGAGATAAAGGGACATCTCTTTAAATGTCTTTGAGAAAAATTTGCCTTTTTCAGTGATGGCATTCCTTCTGACCCAGTCCTGTTTAAACTCCAAGGACTCTGATTTTTGAAATTTCAGGTTAAGGAGATCATTAGTTGAGGAGTATTGGCATCTAATTTTTCAGATGGGGGTGTTCCATAGTATGCTTTGTTGTTGTTACTGCCATTGAGTCGGTTCCAACTCATAGCGACCCTGTACAGGGTTTCTGAGGCTGTAAATCTGTATACCACGGAACAGCTGGTAATTTCCAACTACTGACAGTGAGATTAGCAGCCTGATTTGTAACCACTATGCTACGATGAGGCATGTCTCATACGTGAATACCTGAAATATAACTCGTCCAAATTGAGGTGCGCTATTGTGCTGGACTGCAGAGTTGTTTGTACCACAAGGTCGGTGGTTCAAGCTCACCAGTCACTTCTTGGAAACCCTATACAGTGTCACTGTGGGTCAGAATGGATTCAATGGCACTTCACAACAACAACAATATAAGTGTAAAGTAGATACTAGCTCTAAAGACAGTACAAGAAAAGAATATAAAATATCTCATGTATTTCTTATTGCATGTTGAAATGAAAATATTTTGGCTACCTTGGATGAAATATTAAGTTCACCTTTTTTTTAAAACTTTTTAAACATGCCTACTAGAAAATTTAAAATTACACATGGTTTTCACAGTATTATTGAGCAGCGCTGTTTGAGAACATTTAACAGTTGATTTTATGTTCTTTCCTCACTCTTCCCATCCCCTTGTGTTTTAGGTGTAGTCTCTTTTTCTAGATAGTAATGAATCTTCTGGATTGCTTATGGTGTGTGGTGCAGTACTGATTTAGAAATGGAGCAGTGGGTTCTAACCTGGGATCCCTGGACTCTCACCAGTATTTAAAACAAAGAGGCAAATTAGATATTGTACATATACTTACAAAGAGCTGCACGGACTCACTGAAAGGCCATAATGAATCTGGCTGGACCTGTGTGGAATCTGTGCATGATGCTGACTCCCTCCTGCTGACCAGTGGTACTGATTCCTGTCTCTGGAGCAAGTAGACCATCTAAGTAAAGATCAGTGAGCCCGATACATGAGAGTCTGATCGAGCACAGCACAGGTGCATGAGGTCAAGGAAGAAGGCCTGCAGTGGTGAATAGGACTTGGGTGGGTGCTTCATGGGCCTCCTTACTAGGATCATCACTCCTGTTTTAGTGGTTGTCTGGGTCAAGAATTGACACAAACATTTGCCAGTGGAACAAATGGTAGACACAAATTTAAGAATTAAAGGTGGAAATGATAAAAAAGGTGCTTAGTTGCTGGAAAGATTGGGAACCTCCCATGATGGTACCATGCTGTATGATGAATTTTAAATTTTTAAATTGTGTTAATTTGCTTGTTACTGCTTCAGCTGGTCTATACTTTCCTAACTCCCCAAGACAGGGTTTTGTTTCTTATGAACTCTTCAGAACATTTGTCAAAATTGTCATTTCAAATAGGTATGTAGTTTTACATTGTGTTGATCTGCATCATACAATAAGCCCTGTGAAAGCAGGGACCATGTGTGTTTATGTTCACTGTTGTATCTAATTTATAAGTGAGAAATGTTCAGTCAACATGTGTTTTGAGTCCTTAATTATTCACCATTGTGTTACCTGAAATCTGATACTGTGTGTCAGTGTTGTGGATGTGGAACTGGACTCAAAAACATTAATGTTAATTTTGCCATCCTCAGGGTAATAGCCTGACCTTGATTGACCTCCCTGGCCATGAAAGTTTGCGACTTCAGTTCTTAGAGCGGTTTAAGGCTTCAGCCAGGTAAGTAGAGAGAAGTAAAATGGGTCTGTCTGAAGTCTATATTGAAGTGATCTGTGCTGGTTGCTCTAGTGGTACTCAGAGGAAACGGGGAGGGGAGGCCCTGCCTGGTGTATAAAGGGTATGAGTTTGAGGTCAGCCAGTTCTGGGTTGCTTTTGTGAGGTTTATATACGATAATGTTTAAAAAGTGTATCTCAGAGTGGAAAATGGTAACTTTTATTACCATTGTTACTAAATTGTACATTAATCCTGAGGACAAATTTAATGACAGCCTTGGAAACCCTATACAGGGTCACTATGAGTCAGAACTGACTTGACCACACTTAACAACAACAGGGCTATTAAAATCTTAAAAAAGAATTTTAAAGCTTAAGAGGGATCTGAGAAGTTACTAAGACCTGACATTATATAGGTTGATTCCTGAGTGGAGCCCCAGTGTGGTGCTGTGGGTTAATGCACAAGACTGCAAAGCTGTTTGAACTGCAAGATCAGTGGTTCAAGCTTACCAGCTGCTCCTCAGAAGCCCTACACAGGATCACTATGGGTCGGAAACGACTCGACGGCACTTAACAACAACAACAAGAAGTTACCAACTTTATGCCCTAAGGAGATAAGATAAAGATTTTTGTATTCTTTTAATTTCCAATCTCAGTTATTGACTCTTAAAGTTCTTACAATTCTTGTGCTGCAGTTTACAATGATTTTTTCTTGCTTCCTCTCGAACACTGAATAAAACTGAAGGTGAATATTTTTAAGTGGTGTTGAGTCAGTTCTGACTTTTAGTGACCCAGTAAAGGGTTTCTGAGGAGCGGCTGGTGGATTTGAACCACCATTCTTGTGGTTAGCAGTCCAGGGCTTATCCTACAGTGCCACACCAGGACTCCTATATTAGTATGTCACATTTTAACATCTTTGAAACCAGAATGTTTCTTACAGTCAAGGACACCATAGTTTAACTGGCAGCATTTTCTTTCTTAGTGGTACCAGAAATAATTGTATCTGAATGGAATCTTTTTGTTGTCAAGTGCCTCCAAGTCGGTTCCGACCCATAGTGAACCTGTAGGTTTTCTGAGGAGCAGCTGGTGAACATGAACCGCTGATATTGTGGTTCAAACTGACAGTCCAGCTTATTAACGCACAGCGCCACACCAAGACGATTTGATGAAATGTGGCACTTGGTTCTTCCTTTATTTTTGAACATACTTGAGCCTACATTCCAGGAGCCCTGGTGGCACAGTGGGTAAAGTAGTGAGCTACAAAACTCCAAGGGCAGTGGTTTAAACCCACCAGCTGCTCCTCAGGACAAAGATGAGGCTGTCTTGGGAATCCTGAGGAATGTTCTCCTTTGTCTATAGGTCTCACTATGACTCCATGACATTTTGTGGGGTTTGGGTTTACATTTTGTTATTACTCCCTTGTCCACCAGATGGTAGTGATGAGCAATGTGTTACAGAGGACGATGTATGACTTTTCTTGCTCCAACAACTGATGTTTCATTGTAATCTGTCCCCTGCCCCCCTTTTTGAGTAAATTATGCCAAATTTACTGATAAAGTTTGTCATCATTGAGTTTAAAAACTTTCTCTTGTCAAGTCTAGATGTTTTATTACTTGTAGAACAATTACTATTTGACCCAAGTATTTTGGGTAAATGGAAATTATCTTTAAAATCTGAATATAAAAATGGGTTCATAATCACAGTAAATGCAAATTGAATAAGATATTTACTATTTATGTGATTTTTTATTTTTTCAATTGTACTCTGTAATTTCTCTCTTCCCCTGTACTGGTTTGAAAGTATTCTGTTTCTACTCTAGAAATAATCCCTTCTCTCTTTATTTTAACAGTACCTATTTCATAAAGTCTAAAATAATAATTTGTGTCCTTTTCTGGAAACTGAAAATACTATAACTTGGTTCTTCCTTGCATCTTTTATTTCCTTTTAGCCTCCTTTTAAAGCCCTACAGTCAGTAATTGTTTTTTTTTTCTTATATTCATTCATTGATGACTTAAATTTACTGAGATGTGTCTGGATTCTCTGTATTTTATTGCTTCATACATCCTACTTATTTTTCTTTTAGATTTAGTTTATCTCTTAGCGAGTATACCATTTAGAAATTTTTTCAGGAAGAGTGAATAAGTGGTAAAATGTTTTGTCCTTTGTTTATTTGAAACAGACTTTACCTGGCCCCCAATTTTTTTTTTTTTGGTTGGGAGTCTTTTGAAGACCTGATCAATTTCTTCTTTTGTTATGGGTCTATTCAGGTTTTCTCCTTCACTGTGTGTAAGTTTAGGTAGGTCGTGTTTATCTAAAAATGTATCCATCTCTTCTAAGTTTTTTAATTTGTTGGAGTACAACTCTTCATAGTATTCAGTTATTTTCCTTTTGATTTCCTTCGGTTCCATTGTGACATCACCCATGTGGTTTCTAATACGTGTTGTTTGTGTCTTCGCCCTCTTTTCTTTTGTTAGGTTTGCCAATGGTCGGTTGATTTTGGTATCTTTCAAAGAACCAGCTTTTTGTCCTGTTGATTGTTTCTGTAGTTTTTCTGTTTTCTTATTTATTTCTGCTCTAATCTTTGTTATTTCTTTTCTTTTGGTGGCTGTAGGTTCCCTCTGTTGGTCTGTTTCTAATTGTTTTAGATGCTGTGTTAATGTATTCATTTTGGCTCTTTCTTCTTTTTGGCTGTGTGCGTTTATTGCAATCAATTGTCCTCTCAGGACCGCTTTCGCCATGTCCCAAAGATTTTGGTATGTTGTGTTTTTGTTCTCATATATTTCTAGGAACTTTGTGAATTCACATTTAATTTCTTCTACTATCCAGTCGCTTTTCAGATGCTATGCAGTTTCCATGTATTTGACTTGATTTCCTTGGTCTTCCTACCTGGCCCTCATTTTTGAATGACTGTTGGAGCTGAGCATCAGATAACGCTCTTTATTCTTGACTTCAGACCCTGTTGTAGCTGAGAGCTGCTGTCAATCTTAGTGTCATTTCATTGTGAGTACTCTATACTCCCCCAGCCCCTTTATAGGGGTAGATTTTCTTTTGTTCAGAATTGGGCTTGTTTTGTCATGCTTGAAATGCAAGTGCATTATTGATACCATTAGTTGTGGGAAATTCTCACCATTATCTCCTCAGATGGTGCTGTTCATCCTCAATTCTCATCTCTTGGAGCTCTTCTTAATTAAAAGCGTCATTGAACCTTGCTATCTTACAAATCTTTCTACCTTACATATTGTGATTACCTCAGGTGTGCTTTCTGGTTTAATACATTCTTTTCGGACGAGAGTAATTGCTAATACTTCCATTATTAATTTCATTTACTGCATGTTTCACTTCTAAAGTACTTATTGTTTCAAATTGGCTTTCTTTTTATACTGTCCTGAATTTGTCATTGAGTCGGAATTGAGTTGACAGCAATTAACAGTTCTTTTTGTATGGTTTCTAGTATGCTCGTAAATAATTTTAAACATTTTATTAATTGTTCTATTTTTTTGCTTCTGGGAAGGTTATGATTCTCCCTCACAATAGTTTGTTTTCTTTTTTTATGGTTTGTAATTTTGATCCAAAACCTCTCTTCAAGGGGATTGGGTTTTGTTGTTGGTGTTATAATGGTGGTTTTTTAAGATGCTGCAGGATATGAACGATTCTCTACAGAAAGGACTCCTGTTTACTTCTGCTGGGGCCATAGGGATTCAGTGAATCTGGCCTGATTTATTTCATGTCAATCTTTTAGCTTTGAGATCTCACACGAGAGGTTTCTGTGTGAGCCATAGAAGGCCTGTTGTGTTGAGTTGCCGTGGAATCGGTTCTGACTCTTAGCAACCCTGCATAGGGTTTTTGAGGCTGTAAATCTTTACGGAAGCAGAAAGCCTCATCTTTATTTTGCGAAATAGCTGGTAGTTTCGAACCACTGACTTGAAATTAGCATACTGACTCGTAACTGCTACACTACCAAGGCGCCTTCCTGTGTGCCTTGCTCATACTACTTTCCTCAGTTTGTGCTCCATAATTCTGCTAAAATTCAACTCAACTGTTAACATCCATGCTTTAAATCATTTTTGATCTGATCTTAGTTAATGACCTTCCTCGTTGTTCCTTTTGCATAGGTCGATCCTAGCATTTCCCAGTCCTGGTGTGGTGCTGTGGGTTAATGCGCTGGACTGCAAGGTCAGTTTGAACTGCAAGGTTGGCAGTTCAAACCACTAGCCACTTCTTGGAAACTCTATACAGGGTCACTATGGGTTGGAACCAACTTGACGGCACTTAACAAGAACATCAAATCCTAGCAGTTTTTAAACAGCTCTGTACATGATGATTTCTTGGTCTTGGAGGACTAGCATCATTTCTTTTGCTGCATTACTCATTGTTCATGAGTGTGTTGTGTGAGAACATGAACACCCACTTGCATGTGTGTGTGTGTGTGTGTGTGTTTGTGTATGTTGTTTATTATTTACTAGGAGTGACTGGGTGGAATTGTTGTTAAGTACCGTGGAGTTGGTTCCAACTCATAGTGACCCTGCACAGAGTTTTTGAGGCAGTAAATCTTTTCGGGAGCAGAAAGCCTCATCTTTCTTCTGTGGAATGGCTGGTAGTTTCAAACTGCTGACCATGAGGTTAGCAGCCCGATTCATAACCAACACTCTACCAGAGCTCCTTTTATGATGAATACATTTTTTTTCAAGATGATGATGCATCTTGTTCATAGGTTATTTTTACTTATTTGATGTTCCAGGGCTGTTGTGTTTGTTGTGGATAGTGCAACATTCCAGCGAGAGGTGAAAGACGTGGCTGAATTCCTGTATCAAGTTCTCATTGACAGTGTGGGTCTGAAGAACGCACCATCGTTCCTGATAGCCTGCAATAAACAAGGTGCCGTCATGTTGTCTGGCAGTAAGAATGGAAAGCTTTTCTGGGACCGTGACTATGAGTTAGTATGGAGTACCTACAATTTTTCTTACTGAAGACGAGAGATGATGTGCAATGAACTATAAATAAGAGAATTTTAGTTCTTAAAATCTGTTGCTGGTCCTGCCTTTTTATCAACTCTTCTTAACCAGACTTAAACGAAAGACACCAGAGACTGTTGCCACTTTTCCTGTGATCTCATGGAGGTTTTTTTAGTTATAAATTATTTTACTTTATCAAATTAAGCTAATCAGATTAATAATAGCTCATATTAATTTACACAACTTTGCAGGGATAGAGTAGTCTCCTTTCAAACAAGTTTGCTGTTGTTGTTGTTAAGTGCCATCGAGTCGATTCTGACCCATAGCGACCCTGTATAGGGTTTCCAAGGAGCAGCTGGTGAGCGTGAACTGCTGAAGTTGCAGTTCAAACGACTTTACAGTCTTATGCATTAGCCCACCGTGCCACACCAGAACTACCATCAAGCAAAATTTATCAAAGAAAATTTGCAAAAACGTTTTTTTTTCTTTTTCCTAACCTACTACCCAGTAAAAACTTTTCTAGTCACAGCCAATTAAACTGGGTTTTTCTTTGCCTGTAAAATAAGATCGTTGGAGTTGGTCTATGTCTATGAAGAGCCCAATGCATGTCTCAGAAGCCAAGTTAGGACTGCAGTCTTAGAATTATTCCCTGATGTTTTCTTTAGTTCTTGTATTCAGTATGAGGAATGGAGTTAACATTTATTGGACATCTGCTTTGTATCAGACCAGCACTTATCCTCATCTGTTGTGCACTTAATACTTTAACATATCTGAGTGTCAGCTAAGTTTGCTTTTCAATGACAAGGTATCATCTGCTCAAATAAGGGCTCTTCTGAAAAATTACAAAGTTGGTAGGTTTTCTTTTTGTTATACTGGCTGGACATATATATGTTAACTTGAAAAGGTCTGTAAGGTGCAGGGAAATGTAGTAATTTTTAGTGTCACTAACAAAACATATGAGGGGGCTTCAAAAAGTTTGTGGAAAAATAGAATGAAAAGATAATGGAATTTTTCCATGAACATTTTGAAGCCCCTTGTATTTCTAAGCATTATCTTAGGAAAGCTCTTATGTACAAAATAAAACTTACTTTTGGTTGTTCGATGATGCATGGGGGGGATTATAACCATAGCAATGAAACAATATAGGATAGGATGAATGTAAAACTAATGTTCTCCCATGTAAACTATCACATGTTGTCAGATGCCATCGAGTCGGAACCGACTCATAGCGACCCCTTGCACAGCAGAACGAAACAATGTCCGATCCTGGGCCAACCTCACTACTGCTGCCACACTTGAGTCCATCAATGATGCCACCTGGCAGATCCATCTCGTTGGGGGTCTTCCTCTTTTTCTCTGACCCTCCAGCTTACCCAGCATGACATCCTTCTCCAACGATTGTTTCCTCTGGACAATATGTCCAAAGTAGGAGATGAAGCTTAGCCATCCTGGCCTCCAAGGAGAAACTATCACATAATTCACTATAAAACATTAAAAAAAAAAAAAATGGAGGAGGAAAGAAAATGGTTTCAATAGAAATTTTCCATCATCTGTTTCCGAAGTCTTGGGAAAAGACCTTTTCTGGTTTAAAAACAATGTCTCTTTATTTCTCTGTAGACATTGCAATGGCAAAATCAGCAAAGCTAATTCAGCAGCAGCTTGAAAAAGAACTGTAAGTATGAATGAGGCCTGTTGGTTAATTGTATTTCTTCACCCGTAGACCTTAAGCAGCATAGTCATTTCTTTTCTTTAGTTGTGTATGATTATCCTAAAAAGATTGAAGATTAGTGTAAAACAAGCACTTGTTGAGTACTTGATGGAAGAATTAATGGAACAGTGAAAGCATTAATGGGATGCTGATAGACGTTTTTAATCCTCATGAAAAGAAGACCTCAGATTTATTAGAATGGTTATACTCAACCTTATCTTATTACTGTTATGAACCTATGAATAATAGAAATGAAAGGTTTTAGAAATTAAAAGATTTAAAAACCTTTGGAAATTTTTGTCTGAAATAACAATCATTTAAGAGGAATTTTTAAAATACTATTTCTTAACTTGCTTTCACATTATATTAGCAATATCATTTAGTGTTTTAAAATTTGTAAATTGAGCTATAATCTTTTGAATTTTAAGATGGCATGTCTTAATGTGCTCTGCCAACTCTAGAAGAGCCAGTAAAATGCTTGCTTAGAAAGTACTCCGCATTTTCATAAAAGTGAATTAAAAAATATCTTTTATAGAAAACATGAGGAAAAAGTATGTGAATTCAACTTTTAGCACATTTTCTAACTATGGTTTATGTACTCCTATATAACAAGTACCTATGTGGATCCCTCACTCGGGATGAAGCCACAGGAAGAACGTACGCTACAGTGCCTGTCCTCAGTGGCCCAGTACAGTATGGTCTACCTCAGGAGTGTTCTACAGTTTTAAAGGGATGTTTAAAGAAGAACAAGATTATGCCAAAGAGACTGAGTGTGACCCATAAAGCCTAAAATGTTCTAATTTCTGGCCCTTTACAGAAAAATTTTGTTGGTCCTGGTTAGATCATTTTCAGAGGTCCCTTTTGAAGTTTCATTTTGATCTTCTCTTCATACGTTCCCATTGCTGACAACTATCTGGAGAGTCAGCAGCTGTACACATTGCTTGGTATTTAGACTAAGGGAATTATGATTTGGGGCAAAGATTATCACAGTATTAATCAGTTTTGTGCTATTTAAAAGACATGTTTTTCTTAGTTCATTTGCTTTTCATGATAAAATAACATAGAATAAGAGACTAGGAAGTGAAGTAAAATGTTGAAAAGCTAGAAAGATTAACTTGTTAGTTTAATCCATTTTTTGTGCGGATTTACCCTGTCAGTTTGAAGCAGTGTATAATCTTCTGAATAGCAAGGTTCACTCTATGTACGTGACTTTGTAGCAGAAGCTTAAATATATTTAATTTTCCTTTTGTAAAAACTTTTTATTGTATAATGTTTTACATATGAAAAAGTAAATGTGATAAATGCAGAAAGAACACAGAATGAATATTCAGGTGCCCACCAGCTTGCTTAGAAGGCCCTGTGTTTCTCCCAAAAGCTTTTCCATTTTTCCTTCAAGATAAGTAATATCCTGAATTTTGCATTAATTATGTGCTGTTTATAATACTTTTACTGTGTGTGTGTCTCTAAACCAAGTCATTATATAATTTTGCTGGTGGGTTCTCCACTACATTTCAAGTGATGTTACAGAATTAAGAAATACTTTCTTTTGTAAAAAGCAGATTTGTTGTTGTTGAGTGCCGTTGAGTCAATTCCAACCCATAGCAACCCTGTTTAGGGTTTCCATGGAGCTGCTGGTGAGCTTGAACTGCCAGCAGATAGGTATGTAAAATTTATGTGTTGCTTTTACATCCTGATGCGGCATTACAAAATAATGTAGCACTGACGGATAACACCCTGGGGCACAAGGTCAGTTTGAACTGCAAGGTCAGCAGTTCAAACCCACCAGCCGTTTCTTGGAAATCCTATACAGGGTCGCTATGAGTCAGAACTGAGTCAACGGCACTTAACAACATACATCTTTAAGAAGCCATGATGGCACAGTGGTTTAAGCACTCTGCTGTGAACCAAAAAGTCAGCAGTTCAAACCCATCAGTCACTTTGGGAAAAGATGTAGTCATCTGCTTCCATAAGCATTGGGAACCCTGTGGTGCAGTCCACATTGCCTATTTGTTTCGCTGTGATTCCGAATCCACTCAGCGGCACACAACAGACGTCTCTATTATAGCCAGCAGGTGGCAGTAAGGGACCGTCTTAGTGGTTAAAGAACTGGAGAACATAATTTTGTCCCAATTAGACATGAGAATCTAGAATTTATGGATTTCTAAGCTCTATATCCAAAAAAACGGGATAAAAATAAGTACCCTATCTACCCACACTTATTTCCAGAAACCAAGTTTTTATAACATACTGTAGCACATTCTTTATTTAAAATTATATTTCAAAATGGCCCTATTCGGATGATGTTGGCCTGGTCACTACTGCCCTTCACTTAGCTGTGTAAGGTTGGAGCCCATATCCCCTGTCTGTCCAAGAGGGATACACAAATTCCAAGGATTATTATTAGACAGTCTTAATAGTGTAATTGATGGTTTTATGATTAAGTATTTAGTGCTGAATATTTGGAAACTAAAATGATTTCTTACAAGCCTTTTATTGTGACATAAAAATGAAACCCATTTTGCTTCCTGACTCATTTTCCTTTTGCCTCACAGCAACACCCTGCGCGTCACCCGTTCTGCTGCCCCCAGCACACTGGACACTTCCAGCACCGCCCCCGCCCAGCTGGGAAAGAAAGGCAAGGAATTTGAATTCTCCCAGTTGCCCCTCAGAGTGGAGTTCCTGGAGTGTAGTGCAAAGGGTGGAAAAGGGGACAGCGACCCTGCTGACATCCAGGATGTGGAGAAATGGCTGGCTAGAATCGCCTGAGCAGATGTGCATTTGTGTGGGGTGTGACTGACCTGTTTGGGAAAGGACCTTTCTTGGAGTTGATAAAGGAAGGGTACAAAATATGGTCAGAAACAGTTCCTTGCTCTAGAAACAAATGACTTGAAGCTAGCTTGGGACTTTTTTGTTATTTTAAAGTTCTGTCTTCTTTATTGCCCCCTTTCAAAGTGTGGTCATTTTTATTTCACTCGTGTATCTTCTGTTAAGCATCCCTTTTAGCTGGGTTTGGTAGAGGGTATAAGGTAAGGCCAAGGCCTTAGTGACTTAACTGGCTGACTCCACAGAAGAGGATATTATCATGAACATATATTAATCTGAAAAGTTTTCTTATCCTTTGCTTCTGTGCTTTGGTCCTTTCTTCCTGAAAATAAATCTGCCTATTTATGGAACCAGTTGCCCCTGGCTTTCTTGGGCAATACATTCCCAAGCCCTCTGTGAACTCTCACATTTTTAGGTTCCCCTGCAATATAATTGTTCCCACATTTATGGCAGGTAGGAAATAGCAAGAGAGTGGAGATGTGAAAGCCAGGCGGTGGGCTCTGTCCTTCAGTAGCTCAGTGATGAGTCTACAGTGGAGCTTTGTAGCACTTGTGTTTCAGAAGCATATGTTCATAAACCCTTAGAGTTAGAACTGTCAGTGCTAAATCCCAGATGCCAAGAGTCTACTGTGTTCTGTGGTTTCCTGTAACTGGGGAATACAAGGGAGATTTAGAAATGGTCATGTTCCACTGGACGGCTGAAGGCTCCTGGGCTATCTTCGCTCATTGTTTGATCAGCTCTGATTTTGTTCCCTTAACTAAAATACTACAGAATATGAAATGAAAAACACAATTTCTGCAGATTTTTGGAATGCATAGTCATTGATTGGGGGGTGGGGGTAGAGTCTGCCTTTTTAAAGTGACGTTCTTTGCTGCCTTCTTAAGTATGTGGCTTTTATAAATAAATATTTTTTCTTGCTAAATAAAACAACCTGTCTGATTTAAAGCAATTAAATACAAGTGAGTACAAATATGTTAGGTCCTAAAGACTGCAGTGTCCATGGGGGCTACCTCTCCCATCCCGGCTTCTCAGCACTCACCTGCAGCTAGGAAGGAGCTAGGCTGGGAGTGCAGGGGGGAGCACGTGAGTGCCCAGCATGGAAGGGGAGGTGGTGAGAGGTGCTATGGGAGCTCGAGGAATGGGGAGAGCCAAGTTAAAGCATGGGGCTGTTCACAGCATAGTTGGAATGTGGCTCCCCTCGCCTGTGCACCCCACTCCAGCGTCAGCTGGCTATTTAGCTTCACACAGGCTAGGATCCATTGGTAGTCCTGGCAGAGGTATTCCAGGGCCCCATCTACTGGGCATTTGCTGTGCTGCTGGTGTGTGGAAAAAATGCCACCTGTATAAAGAAGTCTTTAAAATGACCTTTGAAAGACTCATTCCTACCGGTGCTCTTATTATGGAATCGTTGCCCGTTTCCCTAGTAGTGAAGTGATAGCTTAAGGAAGTAGTTGAGAAAAATAATGTGGAAATCAGAAAGGAATGTGATGAATGTGACATGTTGACGTAATCAGAGTAGATGCTCATTGTGAACTGAATGAAGGCAGAGGCTCGATACCTCTGTTAAGAACATGTTTTTCAGTCTCCTTTTTTTGGTGGGAGTCTACTTCGGTGGAAGCAATATGCCAAAAAGTGATTAAAGGAGGGGAGAGTACGACTGGATTGTATTCAAGGCATAAACCTGTCCACAAGGAGAGCTATATATGCGATCAAGTGATTCTCGAATGTTAATATGCATGAGAATTACTTGCTAAACAAGCTGATTTGAGGACTGGACCCTTAGACATTCTGACTCCACAGCAGTTCTGGTGTGGAGTGTCAGTTGTGTCTTGAGTTTTTACGTGTCCCTCAATTCAAACCCACCAGCTGCTCCTTGGAAACCCTATATAGGGTTGCTATGAGTCGGTACAGACTCGACGACACTTAACAAATCTTTGAAGTCCTGTTTTTCTTATGGTGAAGTAAGCAAGCAGCTTAGAGAGTCCCTCCTAGGACTATCATCCTGCATCCTACTTCTGCACCATACAGCCGTCCCATTCTTGAGGGTTTGGGCTAGGATGATTAGTCCTTCAGAGGCTGGGAAGGGGTTTTGAAAGGATGCAAATACATGGTCACATGTGTTCTGTGCTCTGATGTGATCTCTCTGTGGCCCTGTAGCCATGTGTGTAAAGAAGTTGCATTTCTTCTGGAGATGGAAGTCAGGTACTAAGAGTGTCATCAGGTTATGAGGGCAGGTAGACTAGATGTGGCCAAGACCCTTGTGTCTGAAACACACCTAGCAGTGTTTGAGCCACTCAGGACCTCTCAGAACACCAGTCACATATACAAATGACCCTGTTCCCTGAGGCTGTGGTGAGATGCCATTTGTGGAGGGCCAGGGGCACGCTTGGTAATGGAACCTTCCGATGGAATCTGTAGACATAGAAGACTCCTGAACTGGCCACACCGTTCTTTTTTTCTGGTTCTTCTTTCAAGCACCTTTTTAGAGGCGCCGGGGCCTTGGCAACCTCTCTGCTGTCAGGAGCTTGGTAGCTTGCAGGCGTCCTAATTCCTGATCAAGAACAGCTGCTTTGGTCTGGGGTCTGCAGCTTTTCTTTGTGTGGCCCTTATGTGACCCCTGCAGGTTCCAGCGTGCAACACTTGGTCATGCTGTTTACATGAGATAATTTCAGATGTTTTCATTTTCTTTTTTTGAGTTAAATGCAGAATTACCAAAGCTTCAATTGGCCTATTCTCATATCACCTGAATGATATTAGCAATTAAGCTGCTTACTACTTCTCTTTCAGCCCTTCAGATATTTAAAGTAAGGTGATTATTACACCTGGCTTCTTTTGCTCAGGAAAGTAATTCCAGTAACCTTTCAACAGAAGACCCTGGTATGCATTCCATGTGTTCAGTAAATGAGTAAGCTGGGCACTTAAGTAAATGGGTAAGACACTGCACCAGTCCCTGCGAATAAGAGCATGATTCCTTCCTTTAGAGACATGGTCGTGTGAGGCTTAAAATGTGCCTTTTCCTTGTAGCCCCTTCTTTTCTCCCATCTCCTTGTCTGTGTGAACCCCACTGTGGCTGCACTGGTTGACCTCCATGGTTACCTCTTATTCTACTGTGCCAGCCATACAGCTCCTCCAGGGGCCTGCTAGCTGGCAAGGCCCCTGTACCAGTACCTCCTGGGATCCCAGTGTCCTCTGTGGCCCCAGTATGTGTGAAGCACTTCGTCTTCTGGTTACTTGAGATCATTTTGTTTCAGCTAGAATATGCTGCTGCTGCTGCTGCTTTTATAAAAGTTGCTTTTTTTAGCATACGATTACCAAAGTTCCTTTTTCTACTCTTGGCCTTTAAGCAGCAAAGCACAGTTGTTGTAGTGATGAGAACCCCTCTGAGTGGCATCCCTGGATGCCATCCAGATTAGCTAGGATTTATCACAACCCCAGGTTCTTCACACTCACAACTGGGTGACTCCCAGCAGGGCTGCCCATGCAGTCTGCACCATTTTGTTGTACCACGCCAGAGTTGTTGTACCACGCCAGAGCTTCCTTACTCTGGCAAGGAAGATGCTGCACAGTGAGAGGATTCACTCCCTGGCACTCAGAGATGGCTTCCCTGAAGTGAGATGAGAGTATTTTGTGAAATTGCGCTTGAATCATGAGACCTGGTGAACTTGGCCTGCCTACTCCATTGGTCCAAGAGGGTACGTTTCTCATGTAGCAAGCAGTCTCAGGTCAAGGCAAAGCTGTCCATTCAACTTAGCCTCTGCCCTCTTTGGATTGATCCCAAAACTACCCTGGCCTTCAGGGCATCTTCTAGTCTGGAAATGACTGAGGCCTTCAGGGGCTCCTGGAATGTTTCCTGGTTGGTATGGGTCAGATTGGGGTGGTATGTAGCAGTTTGGGACCAAGTTGTTAAGTGCCACTGAATTGGTTCCAATGCCTCATAACCCTGTATAGGGTTTCCAAAGAGTGGCTGTGGCTGGTGGATTTGAATTGCTGACCTTACCACACCAGAACTATAAAAGGTGATTATGGTTCACCTTAAATCTATGCCTTTAAATGGCTTGTGGGAAGTCACCAAAGGAAGAGAGACCCAGCCCCTGCACAGTGACCAACCATGGTAGCTGGAGTGTGAGAATGAGGAAAATATTACACACCTGAGTCTCAGTTCTGTCTGAGGTCTCTGTCCATTCTTTAGGCAGAATGGAGACCGAGGAATGGAAACGAGTGGACATTCAATCTCCTTCTGTCCTACCTTTCCCCCTTCTGAGTCAGTGACAAGACCAGGTGAGATGAGGAAGAAGCAAAGTGCTATGGGAGGTAAACATACCTCCTAGACAGAAACGGGTATTCAGAGAGCTTGCACTGGAGGAAATCTTAACAGAATCCCACTTTTATGACCACACCATTTAGAAACATTAGACAAGAGGCTTTGTGTTGAGAATTAGGACAGTTTATTATTTGACCAACATGCTGAGGCTTTTCCACATTTTACACAATTTTATGTAAAGTCAATATGGCCGCTACTGCCTTCTGAGCCGGTAAGAGATGGAAATGCCACCCTCTGTGCTCCTCACAGCCAGTCACTCTATAGGGGTGGTGAGGGGCACATGGGGGGAGAAGTTGACACCATGAGATATCTGCAGGCTGGCTTTTGGTGCTAGCTATGGAGGCTTCTCACCTCCTGAAGGAACCAGCCAAACCTCCATGCAAAGTTTTCAGATAAACCACAACTTGCTGGGAGTGTCAGCCAGATAGGGGTCTGGAGTCCTGGAAGTTTACACGTTGAAACCTCAAGATTTTGGAGTAACTAAATAGTTTATTTCACATAAAAACTGAAAGGGTGCCCTGGCCTGTGTGGGTGGCCAAAAGACTTTTTTATTATTGGACTTGTGGACTGGCCCATATTTGAGGTGGAGAAACTCAAAATTCACCTGGATTTTCTCCCAGTTTTGCAGATATGCTGCAAAGAATCAGACGTCCTAACCACAGAGTAGAGCTGACCTGGGGAACACATCCTTGTGCCACAGTCCTTCATGTGAAAAAATAGTCACACTTGTGCACAGATAGGTCAGCAACGGAAGGTGAACACTTTGGTTCTGGTCACTTCTAACCTGCTGGGTGATCATGAGCAAGTCATCCTTGTCTGTCTTGGTTTTCCTGCCTGTGAAACAAGACCACCTCACACTGCTGTCTTAAGGTAAGAATGCCTTACTACTTTGCAAAGAGGTAGTTTAGAAACTAGTGAACATACAACTCTACCTTGGTTGAAGTGCACAGCTGCCCCTCATAGGGCTAAGAGACATGTCTTTCAGTCCTCGACTACCTGTTCTCATACCCTGACAGCTCACCTGTCTCATGAAGGAATGAGGCTGTTTCAGCTGCTGACAGTGAAGCCAGCAGGGCTGTCCCCTGAGACTCTTGAAGAGATGTAACCACTGCCCCTCAGACCTGAGAACGGTGCAGCAGGTAGACCTGACCAAGAGAAACTGCTGCTGGTCAAATGGGCTGATGGGTTATGCAATGGCAGGGCCAGCCTCAAGATGTGGACTTCTCTACATCTGGACGTGTGTGCTTTTATCATATTTCAATTTTTTTTTTTTTTTTAATGCTTGGGGAACAGGAGCTTTACTGACATCTCAGGTCCCCAAAGAAAATCATGAGCCCAAAGGAGGTGACCCTTCCCATTTCCTGGTTCAGCGAAAGGGACTGATGAAGTACTGATTTGAGATCATGTCCTAAAAGGAATCATCATCCACTTTGCCCTTTTCTTGTCCATCTGGATTTAGCAAAGATACAGTACTCCTACTGGGGGTGCTGAGGCAATTTCATGACATCTTCAAGACACTATGATAATTACTGAACCGTAACTCGGAGCCAAGATTCTACCTACAAGCAAAAGGTCAGTGATGCTGTCTGCTCAAGAATAGAGACGAACCAAATGCACTTCTGTGAAAGAGGTCTGGCTGTCCTAAAACAACCAGGAAATGAGGGATGGGAATCAATCCTTATGAGTAACAGCCTGGAATTGAAGACGGGCAGACAACCGCCCTTAGCTTCGGAGGCTCATTGTGCTGGGGAGAGTCTGGGAGCCAGAGAGAGGATGTGGTGTGCACACTAGGGAAGGGCGGGCTCACTACACACAGCATACCTCACCAAATGGATCTACCATGTCTCTTACTGCTTCTCTAGGGCCAGATGGAAAACCAGTCTATGGCACCTTGTGTGCACACGAGAAGGGGACCGAGTTCCGACTTTGTTTTTCAGGAATGGTTTATTAAAAGCTACTCTTTAGTGCCAAGAAAATAAATATCAACCATACATTTATTCACTGACACCCTATGAATGGGGAATAGGGCTGTCCCAGAGTCCACCAGTGATGGCACCAACTGCCAACAAGGCTACACGCTGTAACAGATCCTATAAAACCTTGTGAGGTAATAAGTAAGCACTCTTCCCACAAGCACCACTTGGGGTGTGCCCGTGATGGGGGGGCTACTGGCCCACACAGGCATGCACACTTGTGCATATAAGTACATACAGAGAGGAAAGAGATGGTGGAGATATTCCCATGGGCAAACTTTGCCTCTAGTTGAACACATCTATGCATTATTTTATTGATGGCAAGACAATCACAAGATATTTGACAATAGTTAAGTATTCCTTATTTCAACACGTTGCAGTACTTTTGAATTTCCAAAACTGTTATCACAATACAAGTTCCAACTTGAGAGCAGGAAAAAACAAAAATATACAGTGAACACATAGACCTCCATGTGAGAATGTGTTTGTGGAAGGTATATGCACAGGTCTATCTATATATAATTATGTACACACTTATAAAAACTAAACACGACATTAGAATAATGTTCATATATTGGCCTCTGCCTTCTGGAAGAAGAGCTCAGTGGGAATCCTTCTTCCTCTCTTGATCTGAAGATAAACTCCTCTCTAAATATCAGCTGTGACGTTCAGTCTCCTAGGCTGATGCCCACAGATGGCCCCTGGACAAACAGTGAGTCGAACCAGGTTCTGCTGGATTTAACTGGTTACCATTTTGTATTTTTCTGAGAAGTTCCAAAATTTGTTCCAACAACCTTGTTGGAGGCCTGCCTTGTGGAGGCATTCACCACCACTACATTGGATATGGTCAGTCAGCCCTTCAATGACGTGCCCATCCGCAGCAGCCTGGAAGAGCCAAGGCCAGCTTGGAGAGCAGGGTTTATCGGTTGGGCCAGACTTACTACCCAGGATCTGGCTTGGGGCAGAGTCAGGGTCTGTTTGGAATGCTGGCCATGTGATTAACATGCACCTATTGAGAAGTACTATTTTCTGAGATTTTATAGGTCCTCAAGGCTAGGCCCTTTTCAGGAACGAGTCAAAAATGGCTGGGATGACTGTCTAGGGGTGGGACTCGGGCCCCTGCAAACCACACACCTCACACTCCCTCAGGCAACCACAGTGCTGTCCACAAAGAGAGAAGCACAAGGATTCCAACCGTTCTGTGCCAGTGGGATGAAGAAATTGGCTTTTCTAGAACAGTACTCAGCAATGTAAGCCACTGAGGATCAAGAATGGTGTTTTCAAGGAGGTGGTTCTGCAGACGACCCTTCCATTCCCCAACCACAGACAGACTGATCCCTCAGGTTCTGGCCTGCCTGACACCCAGTTCAAGAGGAGGTCTTCAGGGTGGCACACCAGCCAGCATCACAATGAGGTGGTTTCTGCCTTTCCCTTAGAGTCACCTCAGTAAGTGTGCCTACAGCTAAAGCACCTTCAGAAACCACACTTCATTCCGAGTTTACAAGCCTCACTTTCGCCAGAGTTACATTTGCCAACAGCACCCCATCCTTCCAAAACCCCTTGCTCTGCAATCAATGGGTGGCCAGAGAAGACCAAGTTGCCTCTAGCAAGTGTCTTCCACTCCCTCCAAGGCTTTTCAGGGGAAGGAAAGGTGAGGTTGAAGGAACTGCTGGCTTCCTTTGCAGTACACAGGTCTTATTTTCAACTGGGGGCCCTTGGTGACATCCCACTCTGGCCACAGTATGAGGAGGGTGTCAGAGCTGCCGCCTCAGAGGCTGTTTTGTTTAACCAATGCTTGATTTTAATTATGTGGGGGCCTGGCTGATTTCAACCATGTGGCCCTGGTTGGTCTGGGCTACCTGACCTGGCCTAGGATTGGAGCCTAATTATGTTGCCCAGTTAATGGTTTCACTGAATTGGACTGGGGGTGGGAGGAAGGCAGAGGCAATGAGCAGCTCAGAGAACAGGAAGGAGGAGGTGTGTGGACAGGGTTCTCTATAAGTTTACAAATATACAAAACCAAAAAGCACATCTTTCAAATAAAAATGACTACATTTTTATCTGGCAAAAAGTTGTATACACATGATTTAAATTTTTTTTCTTTTTTTAATTTTAACAGTTTTTGGCAATCTTAATAAAGTACAATATATTACAACCAAACCAAAAAATAGTTGTTTAAGTAACAGCTGTTAAGAGTGACATCATCCCTGACGCCCAGCCTCCCTCCCACCCCACCCTACTCCTAGAGACAGAGAGAAAAGAAAAATCCTCCCACCTTGATAAACTCATTTCCCACCCCTTTAGGAAGCTAACCAATAGGAAGCGACACAACAAGCGAGTAGTTTCAAAGGAAGCCAGCCGGTCGGGCTCTGTATTAGCAGGAGCATCCACCCTCGCTGGCCGGGGGCTCCTGGGGCTTGTCCAGCTTGATGTCGATCACTGTGGGAAGCTGTGCTAAGGAAGACCACTGTCATGGAGAAGATGCCACCCTGCTCGGCCAGTGACCAGTGCACAGCCCCTGGTAGCCACTGCTTAGTCATAGGAAGAAGGATTCCGAGTCACCAGTTCCAGTTCTCCCTCTAGCCGAAAGCAAAAGTCTCCTGGGCTGTGGGACTGCGGCTTGTCCACAGACCAGAGTCCCTTTCTCAGAAACCTCCCAGCCCCAGCCTCAGCTTGCCACCTCTCAGCCCCACTCCAAAGTGCCTGGAGTGGGAAAGGATGTGCAGAAGGCAGGAAGTCTGGTGATACCCAGAATCCTCCCAGTTCAAAGCCTAGGAAAATGAGAGAGCTTCAGAAAGTTCATGGCAAAGTAGAATGAAAAGATAGTGGACTTTACCTACAAACTTCGGAAGCCCCCTCATGTGTACACTCAGCTGCTAAACATAAGGTTGGCAGGTCAAGTCTACCTAGAGGTCACTTGGAAGAAAGGTCTGGTGATCTACTTCTAAAAATTCAGTCACTGGAAACCCTATGGAGCACTGTCACCCACAGGGTCAACTCAACGCAAGTGGAGCCTGTTGTAGTCAGCAGCACGTGCAGTATCTGTTAAGTCCTGTCAGAGAGACGCTTATCCTGGGTGTGGCTGCTGTGAGAAGCAGCATCCACGGCCCATAATCCAGCCCTTTCCATTGGTGCTTTGGTGGGGAATGGGCTGGAGAAGCACCTATCAGGACACATCAGAAGACCAGGTTCAAAATTCACAGGCATTTTGCCCTCTGCCCTCTGCTTCCACCACTCTGATCTGAAAAATTAATGATCTGAGGCTTCAGTCTTCCAGCCAACCAGACCTGTTTACAGCTGAGGAACAGGCCCTGTGGCATCTCCAGTCTCGCCCTTCCTGGATTGGATTTTGGTGTCTGCTATAGGACTGTGTCAGGTAGGTAGAGTGGGGGTGGAATAAGAAGCCCCCCTCTTGGGCTAGTTGCTGATATCCTATGGCCTTTGTAAGGTATAGTGCTGTGGTCCAGGATAAAACATTGGACCACAATGTTGGTTCAACAGCTGCTCCTTACAAACCCTATACGGGGTCATTGTGAGTCGGAACTGACTCCATGGCACTTAACAACAATAACGGAAGGCCACTGATGGCATCTAACAATAACAATATGAGGACTACGGGAGAGGTTATTTCAGAAACTCTGTTGTTGTTATTAAGTGCTGTCAAGTCGGTTCCGAACCATAGCAACCCTGTATAGGGTTTCTGAGGAGTGGCTGGTGAGCTTGAATCACCAACCTAGCGGTTCAAATTGACTTTGCAGTCCAGAGCATTAATCCACAGCACCAGGCCAGGACTCCAAGCTTTAAGTCCTATGAAATGCCACATTTCTCATGAGATCTTATTTTCTCTCTTAGGAAACTCAGAGCCACCTTTTTGGCTACCTGTGACAAACCCTTAGTCGTGACATACATTTTGATTATGACTTTATCTTTGACCTTTATTTTCCCTGTGCCCCAATTTTCTTATGTGTGTATGTGTTCACAAATACCTATCTTATTTTCTGTATGCATGTGTATGTACACAGTTTTTGTAACATGACAAAAATAAATGAAGATGTAGCTAGCTAGGAAACAATTACCTTCTCTGCCATTGCATCCTTTGTCTTTACTACTCCAGTCAAGCACACCTACTTATTTACTTCCTAGTCATCTTGGCAAAACCTGTTGCCACAAATTCCCGGCCTACTGCTCTCTGCCAAGCAGTGGTTCCAGGGTTCTACAGGCCCAAGCTGGCCCAAAGCCCCAGTCTACTTATGTATGGCTGGTCTGGGTGCAGCCTCTCTGTGGTCTCCTGGTCAGGACTTCCCCCAGGCGTTTCTTCTGAGCTTACCGGCCCCTTTCAGCACAGTGGCTTCCTAAAGTCAGCTCTGGTGACAATCATGTCACACTCTGGTGCTGACACACAGTGTCCACAGATTTCTCACTCCGGCTTCCACTGAGTTGATTCCAGTTTCTCCCCACCCTTAACTCCCACCTGGAGTCCTGGTGTGGTGCTGAGGATTACTGCGCCAAACTGCAAAGCCAATTGAATTGCAAGGTCGGCGGTTCAAGCTCACCAGCTGCTCCTCGGAAACCCTATACAGGGTCGCTATGGGTGGGAACCGACTTGATGGCACTTAACAACAACAAACCCCCACCCATACATGAGATTTGTCAACCAATTTCCCTCTTCTTCAAACATGTCCTACACTTCTTTCCATTGCTAATGTTGTTCCTTCCTTCAAGAAATGATATCACCTCCTCAACTCTAGACTTCCCATCTTTAAAAAAAATATTCTTTGGTTCAGGACCTAAACAATAGTTGCCTTCTCTGTGAAGTCTTTTCAATTAATAAGTACCTATGAGTGCCAACCACCACTCGTCTGTCAGTTTGTCGTACTGTGGTGGCTTGTCAGTTGCTGTGATTCTGAAACTATGACACCGGTATTTTAAATACCAGCAGGGTCACCCATGGTGGACAGGTTTCAGATGCACTTCCTGGTGAAGACAGACTAGGATGAAGGAGGAAGACTAGGAAGAACTACTTCTGAATATTTAGTCACTGACGTTTTTAAAGTGTTGAAGAGCAAAGATGTCAGCTTGAGGATTAAGGTGTACCTGGCCCAAGCCATGGTATTTTCAATAACCTCATATGCATTACAAAAGCTGGACAGTGAAAAAGGAAGACCATAGAAGAATTGATGCTTTTGAGTTAATGGTTTTGGAGGAGAATTCTGAAAGTGCCAAGGGCTGCCAAAAGAACCAATAGATCCGTTTTGGAAGAAGTGCAGCCAGAGTGCTCTTTAGAGGCCAACTTGGCCAAACTTCGTCTTTCATACTTGGGACATATTGTCAGGAGGGACCAGTTGTTTGGTAAGGTGGAGGGTCAGAGAAAGAGAGGAAGACCCCCAACAAGATGGATTGGCCAAGTGGCAGCATCTATGAACTCAAGCGTAGCAACATTAGTGAGGTTGGCCCAGGATCAGGCAGTGTTTCGTTCTGCTGTGTATAAGGTCGCTATGAGTCAGCACTGACTTGATGGCACCTAACAACAACGAGTGCCAAGGCAGTGTGGTGTCACTGTAGGATAAACACTGATTGTGAACCACAAGGTCGGTGGTTCAAGCCCACCAGCCACTCTGCAGGAGAAAGATGAGGCTTTCTGCTCCCTCAAAGATGGACAACTTGGAAATCCTATACAGGGTTGCTATGAGTCGGAACCAACTTGATGGCACTTAACAACAACATTGTGTGCCAAGCCCTGTGCTAAACATTGCAAATTCATAATCTCATTTCAGCATTATAGTCCGATATAGTACTTATATCACAATTGTTACCTTATATATAGCTAGAAAGTTGTGAAGTCTGGGTTCAGAAGTTTATGCTTTCAAATGACTGAGCCATGCTAAGTTCTTGTAGCAAAGGTTTCTCAGCTTCAATGCTACTGACATTTTGGTCCAGATAATTCTTTGCTGTGGGGCTGTCCTATGCAGGTAGGATATTTAGCAACATCCCTAACTTATATCCATATCCACTAAATGCCAATAGCACTTTGCTCTTACTTTGACAACTGAAACTGTCTCCAGACACTGGCAAATGTCCCCTACTCAAGGGTGGGGGAGGCATAAGTTAGCCCGAGGTGAGAACCACTGCCCTAGCTGGAAGGATGGCTACTGTTAGACAGAGCATTACCTTCTTCCTGCTCAATATTGGTGCTATTTGCCTGCCATTAAAAAAAAGTCGCTCATGAGCAATTCGAGTCAGATGGTATTGTACACACCACTGTGGTTCTCTAATGGACTGCATCTAAATTTCTTGGGAACTCATTAAAAATGCATCTCCCTGGACTCCACTTCCATAGATCTGGGGGTAGACCCAGGGATGTATATTTTTAACAAGTTCCCTGGGAGCTTCTCAATACACAGATACCTAGAGAACCAATTCTAATGATACTTCCAGAGCCACACTGCCCTAAAATATAACTTTCTACATGGATGGAAATAAGCTGTATCTATACTATCTAATGGAGTCCTGGTGTGGTGCTATGGGTTAATGCACTACACTGCAAAGTCATTTGAACCGCAACATCAGCGGTTCAAGTTCACCAGACGCTCTTTGGAAACCCTATACAGGGTCACTATGGGTCGGAACTGACTCGAAGGCACTTAACAACAACACTATCTAATACAGTAGGCAGCCGTATAGTCTATGGAGCAGTTGAAATGAGGCTAGGGTAAATGAGGGAATGAGGGATTAAATTATAATTTAGATATAAAAAGTCACCTGTGGTTGGCATAGGTCAAGCTCACCTGCTAGGTCCTGTAACACATATTCAAGATCCCTGTAATGCTGGGACACAATGCTGGAGGATTCATCACTGCAGTGCAGTGAATTTCTTTATGTATCTCTTCTACTCATCTAGTCTTTGTAACTCTCACCAAACATTTTTTGCTGATGGGTCTAGTTAGGAGAAAGTGGGGGAGAGATGCTGATAGGATTATATGATTCAGCTGTGTTTGTTAACAGAGTCGATTATAATTGTAAAAACTTGGAACTCTAGCATGGGTGTAACATGAGCCATTTCAGAAGCTGTTGTTAGGTGGTGTTGAGTCGGCACCGACTCATAGCAGCCCTGTGCACAACAGAAAGAAACACTGCCTGGTTCTGCACCAAACTCACAACAGCTGCTACATTTGAGCCCATTGTTGCTGCCACTGTGACAGTCTGTCTCCTTGGGGGTCTCCCTCTTTTTCACTTTACTAAGCATGATGTCCTTCTCCAAGGACTTGTCCTGCCTGACAATATGTCCAAAGTATGAGAGATGAAGGTTGGTCATCCGGGCTTCTAAAGAGTACTCTGGTTGTACTTCTTCCAACACAGATCTGTTTGTTCTTTCGGCAGTCCATGGTACTTTTAATGTTCTCCTCAAATACCGTAACTCAAACGTATCAATTCTTCCATGGTCTTCTTTATTCACTGTACAACTTTCACATGCATATGAGGATACTGAAAATACCATGGCTTATGAAGGGCCCACCTTAGTCCTCAAACTAACATCTGTACTCTCAAACGCTTTAAAGAGGTCTTTTGCAACTGACTTGCCTAATGTAATATGTCATTTGATTTCTTGACCGCTACTTCCATGAGGGTTGATGGTGGATCCAGTCAAAATGAAGTCTTCGACAACTTCAATCTTTCTCCATTTTCAGGATTTACTGGCCCAGTGGTAAGGATTTTTGTTTTCTTTACAATCAGGTGCAACCCATACTGGAAGCTGTGGTCTTTAATCTTTCTTCATCAGTAAGTATTTTAAGTCCCCTTTACTTTCAGCAAGCAAGTTTGTATCATCTGCATATTGCAGGTTGTTAATGAGTCTTCCTTCACTCCTGATGTCACATTTTTCTTCATATAATCCAGCGTCTTGAAATATTTAGTAAGCATACAGACTGAGTAAGTATGGTGAAAGAATACAACCCTGACACACACCTTTCCTGACTTCAAACCATATGGTGTTCCCAAGGTTCTCTTTGTCTATGTACAGGTTCCTCATGAACACAATTACGTGTTCCCTAATATTCATTCTCTGCAATGTCCATAGCTTGTCATGATCCACACAATTGAAAACCTTTGCGTAGTCAATAAAGCACAAGTGTGGTGCTATAGGATAAGCACTGAACCAAAGGTTAGTTTGAACTGCAAGGTCAGTGGTTCAAACTCACCAGCTACTCCTTGGAATCCCTATGAAGGGTCAACATGAGTCAAAACTGACTTGATGGCACTTAACAACAACAACAACAAAATGTCTTTCTGGTATTCTCTGCTTTTAGCCAAGACCCAGTTGATGTCAGCAATTTTATCCAGCTTGAACCTCTGGCAGTTCCCAGCTAATGTACTATTTCAGCCATTTTTCAATTATCTATAACAAAATTTATTTGCATATGATATTAATGATATTGTCCGATGATTTCTGCCATCCTTTGACTCACCTTTCTTTGGAATAGGGAAAAATATAAGTCTCTTCTGATCAGTTGACTAGGTAGCTGCCTTCAAAGTTTCTTGGCATAGATGAGTGTCTCCAGTGCTGAATTTGCTTGCTGAAAGATTTTAATTTGTATCTCATCAATTCCCAGAGCCTTGTGCTTTGCCAATGCCTTCAGGGCACCGTGAACTTCTTCCTTCAGTATCACTGGCTCTTGATCATACGCTACCTTTTGAAATGGTTGAACATTGACTATTTCTTTTTAGTACAGTGATTCTCTTTTGATGCTTTCTGTACCATTCAAGATTTTGCCCATCGAATCCTTCAATACTACAAGTCAAGGCTTCAATATTTGCTTCAGTTCGTGTGTTCTTCTATCTTTTTTTCCCCTAACTCCAGATCTGTGCACGTTTCATTATAATATTTGACTCTGTCTTCTAGAGTTGCCCTTTGAAATTTTCTATTCAGCTCTCGTACCTCATTTCTTCCATTTGCTTTAGCATCTCTACGCTGGAGAGCAAGTTTCAGAGTCTTTGTTGACACCATTTTGGTCTTTTTATTCTTTCTTGTCTTCTTAATGACCTTTTGCTTTCGTCCTGTATAATGTTTGTGGTTTTTTTTTTTTTTTAAGTTTTTATTGTGAATTATGTGATAGTTTACATGGGAGAACATGAGCTTTACATTCATCCTATCATATTTCGTTTCATTGCCATGATTACAGTCCCCTCCATGCATCATCCAACCACCAAAGGGTACACCCCCCCATAAGCCTGTCCCCGGGTTGTCAGCACACAGCATCTTGCCCTTCCTGGGCCTAGAGTCCTGACTGCCTTCAAGACAGGAGGCTTACTTGTGGAGTGAGGTGTCTCTAGGCACTTCACTGGGAGAGCCTGACACAGCAGGATGGAGCACCACTGGGCACTGATCAGCAGTCCTTAAAGACCTTGGTGACATTGCTGGAGCAGCAGAGGCCAAGGATGGGAGAGAGGCCTGGGACAAGACTGTCCTAACGGGAACAAATGTGCCCTGAGCATGTCTGACCCTGTTAACTTCCCTACTGAGCCCCATGGGGTCTGAGCTCTGTGTGGTCCCTGCAACAACTGATGGCTCCCAGCTGAACAGACAGTGCAGTGGGAAGGAGGCCTGGTGCCACTTTTTGCAGTCACTGATAGGGAGAGAAACAGGGATGAATTGGTGGACCAATGGCCTAAATAATGCCCCTGGAGAGGAAGCTCATGGGGCTATTCATCATAAAAGGTTTAGTCCACCTGCCTCTTCCCTCCGGTTCAGTAGGGCTTCATAGGGTGATGTGAACTGTCAACATCAGGCACACCTGGTGCCCACTGCCACTTCCCTCTGGTTCCTGGAATCGTGAGGGACCATTACCAATTTCATCTGCTTGGAACCACTTCCCAGAGTGCACAGGGCTTACTGCTACTCTTCATCCATCAGCCTTGTTCAGAACCAGTCCAGGGGCCCCAGGATGGAGGCACACTGAAAAGCAGAAAGGGGGACTGTGTGTTCAGACCCACTGGGGGCTTTCAGCTCTCACTTTGTGGCCTCCTGGCTCTCCGTATTGAGAAGCAGGGATGTGTGGACTGAAGCTGCTGGGGTGGAAATGTTGGGCAGAGCTGGCCCGGAGGGATGCCTGCTGTCTTGGGTGTGAAGAGGATGCACAGCAGACAGAAATTCCAAGCCCTGGGCACTGCCTCCACATAGCTGCTACTGTTGCACACAATTCTCAGCATGACCCCAAGATACACATTTTTGAAATGTCTGGATTTGAACTTAAGTCTCCAGGAACACCTGTGTACTGCCCAGTGGAAGCAGTGTGGTGTCTGAGTCTAAATCTTGTCACTGCTGGTATCTCCAGGGTCTGGCTCCAGGATACTCCTGGCAAGAGCCCCTCACCAGGTGGTTCCGGGCCAGTGTGAATGTGTGGGGAACATCTGCCCAGATGAGGGAATCCTATAGTTGGAAGGGACACAGTTCACATCTCCCTCTACAGTCCACTTACAATCTGCCTTGTGCTTTTTCTCCTGAGGGACCCAAAGGTGCCCGTGCCCCACAGCTGGATGAGACCACAGGCACTCCAAGATAGTCACAACACATTAGCTGTCACGCTGGCTTCTAAGCTGAGTCTGACCTGACTGTGAGCCTATGGGGGAATGCAAGTCAAAGAGTCACCACGCTGACCAAATGGAGGGACTCAGACCTGCCTTGGCCAGTTAGTGATGCTGGCAAGCTGTCTGCATCTTTTTTCCATTTGCAGGCCCAACACACACATCTTGCCTCTCTACCCTCTCAGGGTCTTACTCTTATACAGCCTCTAGGTTGGCGTCTGTAAGCTCCTGGTACCTCAAAGGAGTCCCATGTGATGTGAGACACCATGGTATGGCTGAGTGGTGCTCTCATTCAAGGGGCAGACACAAGCCCTGGACAAGCCTCTGCCTCCCCATTTGCTCACGAGTAACTTGAGGCCTCACAGCTGTCCAACCTGGAGCTACATCAGTGCTGTGCAGATCACAGACAGGGCTGCTGCGGGGCCTGCACCTGGGTAAGTCTGCCGGGCCCACCAGGAGGGTCTCAGTGTGGTCTGAGAGCTCTGCACAGCAGGACCAAGAGCACCCCAAGCCCAGAACTAGGTGGCCGCAGGTAGATAAGGGGAAATACTGACGTACAGGTGTCTCTTCTTTAGCTTTAACACCAAGCTTTCCAAGTTTCTTATGCTTTATCCCTCAATAGCTGGAGGCTGCCCTTTGATGCTCCCGTGGCCCTTCTCTGATCAGCCCCAGGTGTGTACCCAGTGGCCTATGGGGCTGAGAGGCAGGGCACCAGGAAGCCGCTTTGTGGAGATACTGCATCCTGAGGGACACAGGTCAGGAAATGAGTGGCCATGCTCTGGGGACCTAGGCAGGCAGGGACACCTGACTGTGTGACATCAGGCAAATCAGAGAACCTCAATTCCAGCCGCTGAGTGTTATCTCAGGTTTGGGCTGGGTGATGCAATGGTGTATGGCCCCTTTTCCACAAGCCTGGGAAACTGCAGGGATGGTGGGTGCAAGGAGCTGGCAGGACAGGATAGGAGGCACCTGTTGGGAGCTATCTCTTGTAGCGAGCAGACTACAACATGCTGAGATCATTCCCTCCATGGAACGAAACTCTCCCTGCAGTGGAAATTCTGCTCTTGCTTTCCATGACACACACATCAGTGTCCATTGTAAAGAAGAGCAGAGAGTTACTATTTCCCCTGCTTGCCCTGCATGACCACTCCAGACATATCCCTTGGTGTCCTCACTCTGTTTGGGAAGTCAAAGCATGGGGTGGATAAAACTAATCACAGATGATCAGAGTCAGGGGGGCTTACAGACCATGGGATTCAGCTGCATCCCCAAACAGAGGAAGGTGTGGGGCTGCACCGCCCCACACCCAGCCATCTAGAGCAGGTAGGGCTGGAGAGCCAGTGAGTGCCCATCCATGGTAAGAAAACGCTAAGTGGACAAATCCCTGGAGAAATGGCTTCTCCAGGACATTGCTTCACTCACTTGTGAAATGAAAAGGATACTCCCTTCTTTGCTTTTCTCCTGGACATTCTCCATTCCGGGCAGAGCTGATGCCACACGTCGGAAGAGCTGGTGAGAGGGGGAGACGCCTTGTGAGCCCTGGCCTGTCCTTCTCTCCCCAGGCTCCACCGGGCTCCCCACGCTTGCTCTCTGTGCTGCCTGCCCACCATCTCCTCATCCTGACCTTGATGATTAACTTTCCAGTCTGCCTGTTGTGTGCCCTGAGGGCAGGGACTGCACCCTAGCACCCCTGCATCTCTCAGAGAATTAAGGTCTCAGGAGCTATTTGTGAACACCACATACTTTGGGACAGCTTCACCTTTACGCTGGAAGACTAGGAAGGTGGGTGTGATTGGAGCCATGTGAAGGGCAGTCTAGCTACAGGGGAACATTGTATCCTGGGAGCTTTGGGGGCCAGTACTCTGGGATTGTCTGGGGCTGTTGTCCCTCCCATTCTGTCTCTTCCAGCATCTCTGCATCCCTCCTCCCACATGTCACCCAGAATGCTCCTCACCTCCACCCCATGAAGTAAGCCATGTGCATTCTGAAGGTCAAGATCACAGCTTGCTGCATGGGCAGGTTGTCTAGTATTCTCAGAAGTGAAGCTTACGTGTCTCACTGAGCTCACCGCCACCTCACCTTCTTTTAGGCATCCCTGTTGCCACACCTTTGTTCCTGCCATTGCCCTTACTTGGGAGGCCCCCTCCTCATTTCTGCCCTAAGTCCCTGTCATCCTTGAAGGCAGAGGTTCTTAACCTTTTTTTGATCTAAAGACCCGTTTGACAATCTGGGGAACCCTATGGACTCTTTTCCAGTATACTGTTTTTAAATGTGCAAAATCAATTACACAGAATGATAAAGGAAACAAATTAATGCTGAAATATATGTCTAGAATATTTAAAAATATCACTGTGTGACATAGCAAATTTTGTACTTCTGTATTAACATATTAAACAGAAAGATCCAGCCGTGGGTCTAATAACTTTGTCATTTTGAAGTAGTGATGCGTGTAAATGGTATTTCAAGATTACATATTTCAACATTACATAGTGATAAGAATATATCTGTGAGTTTTATTGGTAGTAAAGTCATTGAGGCCTGTTGCCTCAATTCATTATTGAAGGAAATACTAAAGATCAGTGAAGATGAAGATGGAGACTCTTCTAACCCAAGTCTGCTAACCTGCTGAATCCTATTTCTGGGCTACCTGCAGCCCCGCTGCCGCAAGTCTCAGCTCAAACTCTACCTCCTCTATGGCTTCTCTAGTTTGATTCACAAGGCCTCTCCCCCTCCTGTGACCGTTCTTCTTCAAGCCTACATCACTTTCCACAGCCCAGAATGCTTGCCCATGACAGGGCATGATCCCCACCCAAGATGCTGACTAAACTGAGTTTCCTGTATTCTCATCCAAAGTGAAGTAAAGATGCTAAGAAGACCTTGCTTCTCTCCGCCATATGCAAGTTGGTGGCTGGACACTCAGACAACACTGTAAGGTCCAAGTCACTGGTGGCTGCAAATAGTGGCTAATGATTGACAGGTGGCCCCTCTGAGGACCTGTACTGCTGCCCTCTTGCACACTCTACCAATCTGGAGGTCAGCTTGTCCCCCACTGGGTGGCTTTATGGTTGCTCTGATTGGCTGCTCCTAACCCAGTGTCTAGCCCCTCGGGGCAAGGCAGAGCCCAAATCATGGCTAACAATGCTCAGCACCCTTGCATGGGCTTCCATGGTCCCTACCTGCTTCACATTGTAGCCGGTCTTTGCACTGGTTTCGATGAACATGACACTTAGCTCTTTGGCGCGCTGTTCCCCTTCCTCAATGGTGATCTGCCTACAGGTGAGGGGGAGAGAGAAAATCAGCTCAACAGAGGGGAAGCTCCTGGTAGAGGTGGCAGGAAGAATGTGAGGTGAGGAAGGGGCCTGCCCAGCAGGGAAGAGGGACAAGACCAGGTTCCCTAGACAGCCCTGAGGATAGGGTTCTGATATGCCCCCAACCCAAGTCTCCAAGTACAGTCTCTCCAGGACAAAGAGTGTCCAGGAGCACAACAGGACACTGGACCCTTCCCTATTCCTTCTTCAGGATCTTCCCAGCTTAGAAGCAGGTGTTGGGCAGACTTGTGGTGGGGGCTGTGTCATACTATCTCAGCAATTGTCAAGAGTCTAGGTTTGTAAGCTTCTCATAGTAGGATCATGTGACAAACTAGAACTGCTCCATGGGGCTTTCTAGCCTGTAATCTTTACAGGAGCACACGTCTTTCTCCCATGGAGCCTCTTGGCATGTTCAAACAGTCAATCTTTTGATTACAGTTCATTTCAAGAGGTTCCACTGCTTTGCTGAAGTCCAAGACTTGTTGCTGTCTCTGCTTGATGGTCTCACAGGAGATGAGTGGTCCCATCAACCAGCTGCTGTTGAGTCAATTCCAACTCATGGTAAGCCCTTGTGTATCAGGGTAGAATTGTGCTCTAGGGTTTTCATGGCTCTGACCTTTCAGAAGCTTTCCTTCTGAGCTGCTCTGGGTGGGTTCAAACAAGCAACCTTTGTTTAATAACCAACTGTCTAACCCTTTGCACCACCTTGGGGAAGATGTATGTAAATGGAATGTAAATCAGCCCTCAGCACTAGAAAGGGAGTTTCACAACCAGACACAGGAAGAAACCCAAGGAGAGTGGGTCAAGGAAACAGATCCATGCTCTAGAGAAATTCTGCATTTTCTCATTTGGGGACTTGAACGCTTGCACCCCAAACACACTGGTATGTGCACAGCATGAGGCCAGCTGGAGTCTGAGGGACTTCTCCAGCTGGGGCTAGCCCCATGTGGCCCAGTACATAGGCACACTCTGCCCCTGGTTCTGCCTGGTGATGGAAGGTGGGGGCTTCAGAGATAAGAACTGTGGGGTGTGGGGGGAGGCAAGGGGCCTTTCCCATAGACATGGGGATCGATCAGAAGTACAGACTTACCACCAATGCCCATCAGTCCCTGCATTCCTACCTCTTATCGGCCAGGTCGGTCTTGTTGCCCACAAGCATGATGATGACGTCACTGCCCCTCTCTGTCCTGACATCATCAATCCACTTAGAGGTCTGTTGGAAGGAGTTGAGATCTGGAGATGGAGAGCAGATATAAAACAGGGAGTGAGAGCCAAATCCCTGCAGAAGACCGGGAAGATGGAAGAAGAGGCAGGAGGGAAGCACAGACTAGGAGGGGACCCTCTGGAGGGAAGTCCTTGTAGGTTTGTGGAGTTGCCCTGGGAGAAGTCCTAGCACTGCTGAGCCACTCTGCAAGGTCACTGTGAAAGTCAATTAGGGGCACATATGAATTCATAGTGGTTATGAATTGGGCCACTAACCTCAAGGTCGGCAGTTTGAAACTACCAGCTCTTCCGTGGGAGAAAGATGAGGCTTTCTGCTCCGGTAAAGATTTACAGCCTCGGAAACCCTGTACAGGGTCGCTATGAGTCGGAACCGACTCCATGGCACAAAACAACAACAACATGAAGTCAGGCCAGAAAGAGAAATGGGGGCCCTGGAGTAGGCTAAGTGGTGGGGTGAATCGAGGAGAGGCCCCCAGAGAAGGTGGGTCCTACAGGGCAGCCCCCTACCAAGGCCTCTGTAAAGTCCTGTGAAGGCTGCAAGGTCTCCGTCAAGAATCCTTGGGCTCAGCAAGTGAGAGAAGGGGGAATAGGTGGCTCCAAGGCCAGAGTCAGGGCAGCCAGAGCAAACAGATTGTCAGGAGAAGACAGGCTCTCTCCAGGCAGCTCTTCCTCAGGCTGAGTGGCCTGCAGAGAGGAGTGGTCATCACAGGGTCTACAGCTTCCACACTGCTCGCACACTGCCCGGCTGAGGTTTCACCTAGACTCGGTGCACCCAGGACCCACACTCACTTGTGATGTCGTACACCACCACGGCCACTGTGGAGTCACGGATGTAGCTGGGGATCAGGCTGCGGAACCGCTCCTGGCCGGCTGTGTCCCAGAGCTGCAGCCGCACCTGTCTCAGGAAGGGCAGGGTGGAGGGGTGTCAGCAAAGAGCAGAAGAGTCCCCATGGCGGGGGTGGGAGAGGGGAGGCCCAGCCCCTGGAGTGAGCACAGGCTCTCTCAGTGGTGCCCAGTTGAGGGTCCTGAGCGATAAGCCCAAGAACTCCATCCCACCCACCTAAGGAGCTAAAGTCAGCACTCACCGTACGATCCTCCAAGTACATGGTTTTTGACAAAAAGTCAATCCCAATGGTTGCCTGTTAGGGAAAAGCACAGGAAGATCAAAGGTTAAAAGGTCTTGGGCCAAGGGGCAACAATTTAGTGACTCGAGGCAGTGACATAATGAGTAACAGGGGACACCTATGCCCAGTGAATGCTTCTCGTCCCTCAAAGGAAGTTAAGTGAAGCTAAGGATGGGCGTGGGTGGTTTGCTTCTTGGCATGGGGAGGAAGATGGATGGTACTCTGAGAAGAGGAACCACAGCCTCTCTGCCAGCCCCCCCACCCCCATCCCCGTGTGCTCCCACACAGTTTCTCCCCTCAGCCCTGGAATGAAGGCGACCCACCACTGCCCCAAGGTGGGAGCAGGTAGTTCCGCTCTGCTGGGCTACTCATAGACCACTGGGAACCCCCATTTACCACCCCCTGGTTCGTTTCTCCCCAGACCAACTGGTTGGGAGCCAACTGTCAGGAGCATTCTTGTGTACCAAGGAAAGGCAGCGGGGGAGGGTGCAGTCAACCTTTGAGCCCGGAAGTACCACACACTTGCTATGTGACCTTGGGCAGGCCACCCAACTTCTCTGGGCCTTACCTGTACCAGTGTTATGAGTAATGGCGATACCACTCTTACAAAATTACTAATAATGAAGACTGAGACATGACATGAATATCCAAGGCATTGGTCAAGTACAGTGTTAGGACCCTGGCAGTCATTACACATCACCTTAAGGAACTGAGGAAGTAATCAGAGAGTAGAAGAAAAAAAGAAAGTTGGAAAACCATTATGCACAGTGCGATCCCTACTCATTAAATTTACAAGATGTAGTACGGATTTGATATATTTTCTTAGATGCTGATGAAAAAGGAATATACGGAAGAGTTAATAGTGTCAATATGAACAACAGTATGTCAGCAGTGACAATATGGGTGATATTTTCCCTTCTTTTTATAATTTCTTAACTTTCTACAATAAGCATCTAATTGTTCTAGAATAAAAAAAAAACAAAGTATTTGTGATTGTAAAAAAGACTAGGATTACTGGTCTGACAGAGACAGGTAGAACCCCTGAGACCATGGTCCTCAGTACTCATCAAGCCTGAAACTGTCAGTCAAACAACAGACAAATCTAGAAGGTGAACAATAACACCATGGAGGTCTGTACTCCTCAGAACAATCAACCGTTTGAGATGAAAAGAGTAACATCTGTCCAGGGAGAAAGCTCAGGAGGCAGGAAGGGATAGAAAACAGTAAACCCAGAGAGTAACTGGCAAGAGAAGTGATATACTGCAATCAATGCCAGGAAACAAAATACGTATTACTGAATGGAAAACTAATTTGCTATGTAAACTTTCACTCACCCAAATCATAGTAAAAACAGTATTTTTAAAATAAAACAAATATTTTAGTACAAAAATAAAGTTTAAAAATAAGCTGGACTATATGGGAAAGTGTTCAGTGATTTTTGTGTATAAAAACACACCCAAGGGAAGCCCAAGGTAATAGAAAACCACATGATGCAGGACCCCCAGGCTGACAGTATACATGTGTAGAATTGTATGCATGTGGGCACATGCGTTTACATACTCACACCCCCAACTTGTTCCATTCAAAACATTTAAAGTGGCTGAATCCTCTTGGGAGTCTGCTTTAATGCACAGACATGGAATGTAAGGGAAGCATAGAATTTTAGAACACGGTGCTAGACAAAGACCTTAAACAGAACCCAACCTTTCTTTGGAGATGAAAGAACAGACTAGGAAAGTCAGAGGATACTTTATGTGACTTTGCCAATCAGAGGCAGAGCTCAGAGGATGTAAAACCTTCACAGCACTCGGGCTCTTTCTAACCCAGCTTTGCACAACCTTCCAGCATTATGCAGGCACTCGGGAACACGTCTGGAATTGACTTGTTCCTGGCAGCCATTAAATATTTAATAGCTGGTGAACTCCACTTTGTTCTAGCAACCACACATCACCTACCTCTCAGTATACCTCAGAACACTGAGAATAATGTGCAAAAGAGGTGGAAATGTCTCCATGGAGTGCCAAGTTCTCTCTGTAGGGTGACAGGAGCAGAAAACCAGGAACATGCACTCAGGACCAAGAGCAGGGTCTGCCTGCAGCCCCTCAATGTCTAATACCCCTGTTTACAGTAATGAAACTCAGGATGTATAAGTAGACTTAAGGCTACGCCAAACAAAGACTGTACTTCCCAGCTTCCCTTGCAACTGGGTAGCTAAATCAGGTCAATGGAATGTGACAGAGATGTATGCATCTTGGAAGGTCCTTCATAGGTCAGGCTGGGCCCACAGCTGCCCCCTTTCTTCTACTCACTGCTTAGACTGCAGACATGGTGGTGGTGAGTCATATTAGTCTCTACAGATGAGTGGGGGCAGACTAATGATGACAGACCAACAAGACAGAGGAAGTGTGAGTCCCAAACACTGAAGTGCCACCTCAGCATCGTTGGAATGCTTATACTCAGACTGTAGTGTTGAAATTGCTGTTATCTTCTTGTTGTTGATTTTAACACAGCTAAACTATGTCCTGGTGTGGCGCTGTGTGATAAAGCACTGGATTGCAAGGTCAGTTTGAATCACAAGGTCAGCTGTTCAAACTCACCAGACGCTCCTTGGAAACGCTATAGAGGATCATTATTATGAGTCAGAACCGATTCGACAGCACTTAACAACAAATTATGTCCAATTAACAGAGCAAAGAACCATGAAGATATGCAGGCCTCAAAAGTAAGAGCCATGGATGCTGATGTTATTGATGATAATTGTAGCAATGACAATACCTTCTCATCTCATGGTGCATAGAGCGTTCTGCTTCTGTGGAGGGCAGAGAAGTCACCAGGTGGCATGACCAGGAACTGTGCCATTTAGATTAAGTCTGGCAAAGCTCAGCCCAGTGGCCTGTATCATCATCATAAACACCACTTACTGGACACTCACATGCTTTATCGCTACTGTACCTCATAACTGTGGATGTTGTTAACTCCCCTCCAGTTGGTTCCAACTCTTAGTGACCCTGTATCGGGTTTCCGAGACTTTATATCTTCTTAGGAGCAAAAAGCCTCATTAGACCAAAATAGGTGGTAATAAGAAAAGTAAAGCTGAAAGAAGCCACTTTCTATCTCTCCAGCTCTCTAAAACCTTATTCTCTGTTCCATATTTCTCCTACGACAGAGAAACCTCAGGTCCTCCACTTGTCCATTCTCTCAGATCTGTTCGGGCCCCATTTCCTATCCAACCAGGTCCTGGAGCCATTGCAGACTTTCTTTCCCACAGCTATAAGGACTGGTGACAAAGCACAGACATTGTATCTGCATATGCTGAGTGATAAAGTCTGCTTAAAAACATATCCCCACAAGAACACCAACCTAGCCACTGAGGGCTAGAGTTAAGAGTGCACGGGCCAGCTGGTCTGAAGAGGGGGGAGGGTGCCAGAACTCCTAAACTTGCACACAGTACCCATTTGACCCAGTTTGGGTAGCTTGCTGACCAGAATTTGACCACATGAAAGAAAGAAGTGTGATACAGGGAATGTAAATTGCTATAATCTGATTGACTAGACCTTTGCTCATGTATGAAGCTACCCAAAATTCCAACCGAACGGGGAAATATTTTTCATATCAAGGGTCAAACATGCCTCCTCAATACAGTGGGTTGATAGGAACGGGTAATTAGACTTTGGCTATTAAAATTGGGGGCTAGGAAGGTACAAAGTGGCTGGCTTACAAGCTTTCATGAGGGTGTTTAATGTCAGAACTAGGGGAGTAAAACAGAAACTTTACTGAATAGATTTCCTGTTGTCCAGATGGGTCTGGTGATGATGAGGATAGGAATCACAATTTATGATTCAATTGTGAGTAACTGTTATCAGATCTAATGGCGATTGTCACAACGGTAAATGTAGAAGATGTGCAACTAAAAGGGGTGGTGGTGGTGGTAGTTAATCTGTCATTTCAGGAAGAAGGGACCTAGGAACATCATGAGGGAAGAACATGAGAAGAGCGAGGGATCCTAACCAGAAAAGCAGCAACAACAGAGATTGTGACAGAGGCGATGGCACAGAGAGCCAGTGCAGCAGAGGACTGCAGGACTAAAGTCTCAAGGGCTGAGAACAGCAGTGTGCTATGATCATTTGTCACCAGAAGGCCTTCATTAAAGAAATGCTTCAGGCTGAAGGGAAACATCACCAGACAGAAATCAGAACCCTTAAGAAAAACTCTGTAACAGCACCATAAATGGCCCACGTGGATAAAGATGAAAACAGTGCCTCCTACTCCCATCTACCTCAGCAATGACTTAGAACATTCCTTCCTCCGTTTTGCCCACACACTACCCCAATACTTCTCATCCTCACTTGTTGTCAGTTGATTTTGAGTCAGTGGACAGACCATGGAGACAGAGTGGAACCACTGCATTGGGTTTTCAAGGCTGTGACCTTCTGGAAGCAGATCACCAGGCCAGCTTCCAAAGTTGCCTTTTGGTGATTGTTGTGGTTGTTAAATTGCTTTTGAGTTGGTTCCAACTCATAGTGACCTTGTGAACGTTTCCGAGAAGCAGCTGATGGGTTTGAATTGTGGACCTTGTGGTCTGCCGTCCAGTACCGATCCTACAGCACCACACCACGAGATGTTAAGTGCTGTCGAGTGGGTTCCAACTCATAGCGACCCTGTATAGGGTTTCCAAGGAGCAGCTAGTGAGTTTGAATTGTGGACCTTGTGGTCTGCCGTCCAGTTCCGATCCTACAGCACCACACCACGAGATGTTAAGTGCTGTCGAGTGGGTTCCAACTCATAGCGACCCTGTATAGGGTTTCCAAGGAGCAGCTGGTGAGTTTGAACTGCCAATCATTTCTTAAGACACAGTCTTCACGGCTGTGACATAAGAATACTAAAGAGCCTAACTCATAGCACAGGTTTGTGATTGGATTAAATTAAATAATGATATCAACTCTTAGCACAGCAGTTGGCACAGGGTAAATTTTGATGTTTAGTCATTGGTACTATGGGTTTCACTGCTGTGGTTG